GCCCTGAGGTTTAAATAAAACATAACAGTCAACTTTAAGCCATTTTATCAGTCTTTTTATGTTTTGTATTTAACAAGTTATTGAAACTGAAGATATTTTTATTTTTGTCTTTCAGCCTTTATACTAGTTAAGTGATTTACACACCATTACAGTACTAGAATATTCTGAACTTGCTTATGTCCATATCTTACCAGTAAATTTATACTGTATGTTTTTAAGTTACTAATTACTGTCCTTTCATTTCAGCTTGTAGAACTCCCTTTAACATTTCTTATAAAGCAGGTCTGGTAGTGATGAACTGCAAATTTTCTTTCTCACTCTCTTTTTTTTAGTTTGGGAATTTTTTTTCTGATGGTTAGCTTTGCTGAGTGTTCTTAGTTGGCAGGTTTTTTCTTCTAGCACTTTGAATCTATATACCTTATTCTGGTGCAAGGTTTCTACTGAGAAATCTGATAGCCTTATGTGGGGTCTCATGTATGAGTTTCTTTCCTCTTGCTTTCTGAACTCTCTGTCTTTGATTTTTTATAGTTTTATTAGATTATCTCTCAGTGAAGTTCTGTGTGAGTTGAATATGTATTGGGGCATGTGAACACCACATGCCAGGATGCTTCAATTTCTCTCCCCAGATTTGGGAAGGTTTAAGCCATTATTTCTTTAAATAACCTCCCTACCCCTGTCTCTCCTTCTAGAACTCCTATAATGCAATCATTACCCTTGATGATGGCCTATAGTTGATGTAGGCTATTTTTTACTTGCTTTTCTTTTGCTTTGATAATTTCAAGTAACCTTTCTTCTGTTTTTCAGATTCTTCTGCTAGTTCAAGTCTACAATTAATGTTCTCTACTGCATTTTCTTTTTCATTTTGTTAATTAGCTCCAATATTTCTCTTTGTTTTTTTTTTAAGTATAATTTCTGTCTCTGTTGAAATTCTTATTCTGTTCATGTGTATTTTCCTGATTTGTTGAGTTGTCTATCTGGCTTCTCTGGTAGCTTGCTGAGCTTCCCTAAAACAATTACTTTGAAGTCTTCGTTGAGAAATAGATCTATTACTCTGTGGTCAATTACTGAAAAATAATTGTGTTCCTTTGGCGTTCTCATGTTTTCTTGTCTTTTTTTTTTTTTAAACATTTCTTGTAGCCTTACTTTTGTATAGTGTGTTAGTCACTCAGTCGTGTCCAACTCTTTTTGACCCCGTGAGCTGTAGCCTACCAGGCTCCTCTGTCCATGGGATTCTCCAGGAAAGAATACTGGAGTGGGTTGTCATTCGCTTCTCCAGGGGATCTTCCCAACCCAGGGATTGAACCTGCATCTCCTTATTGCAGGTGGATTCTTTACCGTCTGAGCCACCTTTATGTCTGCCCATTTTATGGAATAATTTTGGTGAGGAAAGACCTTCACCTGTGGGTAAGTGCAAGAGTGACGGCTGGATAGACTGGCAGTTCTTACCCCGGGGAAGATCCAGGGGTGTAGTCCTCGTGCAGTGCTAACAGCTGAGTTTAAGTGAAGACTGCAGATTGCGGAGGTTCTCAATGGCCAAGGCTGCAAGTGTCCATGTGGGCTGTAAGGGCTACTGGGGGCCTTCTGATCTTTTTTTCTCCCATGGTGAGTTGTTGTGGCCAAGGAAATCTTTGCTGGCACCCGGCGCAGCTCACCGGTGTCGTGCTGATTGTGGTGTTGCTGGCTGATGTGCGTGGAGTCACCGTGGAGCTGGGGCTAGAGCACAGGCAGTGGCGGCTCAGCTGCAGACCGGGGGCCCGGATCACAGGCTCTTGTCGAGCCAACCGTGGAGCCGGGATCTGCAGCTCAGGCAGCTGCAGAGCTGGAATCTGAAGTGTAAGCACTTAACAGTGGTTCTGGGGTTCAAGAATATTTGTGGGCCCGTGGTAGCCCTAGTCCTGGGGCAGTGCAGCAGCAAATCTTTCTTGTTGAGGGCATAGCAGCGTCTCCCTCTCCAGGGGCCCTGTGGCAGTGACGACTTCTGGTGAAAGCTGTTGTCCTCTGCAGAGCAGGCCACTGGGGTCTGCTCTGATGAATACTTAACCGGGTCCTCCTTTGTGAAAGCTCTCGTGGGTGCTGTTGTCCCCAGTCAAAAAGCCTGCCTAGGTCCACCACAGAGCAGACCATGGGGAGTGCAGGGGTACCTGCCACGTGGCTGATACTGATGGCCTCCACCCTTCGTTGATCCTGGTTGTCTCTCGATGTCTCAGCTAAGCCTGTCACCCTAGTGATCTTCCGTCTGTGTGGTTGCTCTCCATCCTTTGCTTCATTCTGCTGCTGTAGGATCTCAGTTCTACTTGAGCTTCCCGTAAATATTTTCCTTTGTGGATAGCTGTCTGTTATTTTTTATTGGGGGTATGAAGACTGCTATCACCTACTGTGCCATCTTTTCAAATGCCACCTCTCAAGACACTTTTTGTCTTGTTACTAATTTGCTTTGCATCTTTAACCTTTTTAANCTGCTGCTGTAGGATCTCAGTTCTACTTGAGCTTCCCGTAAATATTTTCCTTTGTGGATAGCTGTCTGTTATTTTTTATTGGGGGTATGAAGACTTCTATCACCTACTGTGCCATCTTTTCAAATGCCACCTCTCAAGACACTTTTTGTCTTGTTATTAATTTGCTTTGCATCTTTAACCTTTTTAATATTTAGCTTATTTTTAATTTGACATTCAAAAACTCAAATACTGCTTTTACCATACTTTTATTTCACAGTAATAGTAGCAGTAGCCTCTGGGTGCTTTAGGGACATAATATTGTTTATTTATTAAAGCCACCTTATTAACAGAGGTACAATTGTTATTCCTTTTTTTTTTTTTCTTTTTACAGAGGGAGAAACTAGACCACAGAGAGTATAAGTCATTTGCCCAGCCAAGGTCATATAGCTAGTAGGTATGGAAGCAGGATATCCAAACCCAGGCAGTATAATTCTAACACTTGTACTCTAAACTTCTTGGTTACACTTCCTTTCAGACTGTGTGGCTTATCTCACTTCTGAAGTTATTCTTATGTCTGTTGGTATTAGTTCTTCCGTTGGTTGATTTCGATGCTTAGTTTTTATATTGCTTATTTTTCTCATGTTTGATTTTTGGATGTGTGCTTATTTTGTATTAGATCAAGTCTGTCTTAAAATATTACAGCATTTTGTTTCTAGTGATCGTGTGTTGGAAAGTCGTGACTTGCTGTTGGGAAGGATATATCAAGCTGATTTTGGATATGAGGATTTACTATTCATCTGGAAAGCATCGTTCCACTCTTTGAATCACTTCGCTATGTGTGTTGGAGATACCACTGAGGCCCACTTCCTTGCTTGGCAGTGGTCGTCTTAAGGGGATCCACCTGCCTAGCAGTTCCTATTGCTCATTACCCTGAGGTTGATGGAGGATTTTCTCTTGCCTCTCTCCCTCCCTCAGCAACTTTATATTAAACATGAACCATCCTGAATATAGCCTCTTCAACTCTCCCCCTTCCAACACCCAAGCATGCACACATGTGTACACACACACCATAGTTTGCAGTTACTTCAGGTTGCAGTTTGGATTGTGGCTTCTTCCATCTCATTTCTTCTTATTTGTTATTTTGTCTTTCATTGATCAAAATTCTCATTTGTTAAGGTCATGTTCTTATTTTACAGTACAGTTACTGTTCATCTCCCATGGTTATTTATAACTTAACTCTTTGTTTCTGTGATTTTTAGAGTTATAGTTCAGTCGATAACTCGTGTCCAACTCTTTGCAACCCTATGGACTGCAGCATGCCAGGCTTCCTTGTCCTTCACTGTCTCCTGGAATTTACTCGCATTGATGTGCATTGAGTTGGTGATGCTATGTAACCATCTCATTCTCTGCCGCCCTTCTTTTGCTTTCAGTCTTTCCCAGCATCAAGGTCTTTTCCAATGAGTCAGTTCTTCACATCCGGTGGCCAAGGAATTGGAGCTTCAACGTCTGTTCTTCCAATAAATATTCAGGGTTAATTTCCTTTAGTATTGTCTGATTTGATCCCAAGGGACTCTCAAGAATCTTCTCCAGCACCACAAGTCAAAAGCACCAATTCTTTGGTGCTCAGCCTTCTTTTTGACTCAATTCTCCTATACATTCATACCTGACTACCTGGAAAAACCATAGCTTTAACCATACAGACCTTTATCAATAAAGTACTGCCTCTGCTTTTTTAATACCTGTCTAGGTATGTCATAGCTTTCCTTCCAAGGAGCAGGCTTGCATCTTTTAATTTTGTGACTGCAGTCACCATCCACAGTTATTTTGGAGCCTGAGAATATAAAATCCATCACCGAAATCACTTTTTCCCCCATTTGTTTGCCATGGGACCATATGCCATGATGTTAGTTTTTTGAATGTAGAGTTTTAAGCCAGCTTTTCCCACTCTCCTCTTTGACCCTCATCAAGAGACTTTAGTTCCTCTTCACTTTCTTCCATTAGAGTGGTGTCATCTGCATATCTGAAGTTGTTGATACTTCTCCTGGCAATCTTGATTCCAGCTTGTGATTCATCCAGCCAAGCATTTTGCATGCTGTCTTCTGCATATAAGTTAAATAAGCAGGAATTGAAAACAGTTATATTTGAATATACAAGCCTCATTTTGGTGCTGTACTCTGTTAGTGGTTTTTAATCATTTGAGAGTCATTGACATCTTTGAAGATTTGGTAAATTTTATGTACCGTCACATTTTTGTTCAGATGCATAGCTATGTACCATCTGTACCCCAAGCAATGGCCAAATGTTAATTTGATCATTACTAGTTTTGTAGACTTGTTTTTGGGGGTGAGACTGGGCTCTGTTTTTAGTTATTTTTAGAGGTATAAGCCAATTTCTTAGAAAATAATCTGTTGTTCAGGTTTGAGGAAAATTGTTAGGAAAGATATATTTATATAGCCATAGATTTATGTATAAAGAGTTAAATATAAAGTATAATATTAGAAAGCTAGAGCTATTTCTTTTTAGTAAACCAAGTTTTTTAACATTTCTTTTTTTCCTATTTTCTCTAGGTTTAACTATAGATCAACACATCATCTTGCGTCTCATGGGTTTTATGAATTTTTAAATTGGTTTGATGAAAGAGCATGGTATCCACTAGGAAGAATAGTAGGTGGTACTGTAAGTATATATGCGGTTACTCATGTTAATCTTAAACTTTTTCAGTGATTTGAGTAAATCATTCATCACTAAGGTGATGGCAATTCTTAAAAGTTTTATATAGTTAACTGATGCATTTTCTGTGGCTAATTATCTGTTATTTAATTTGTTAAATCTCTTTTCTTGATACCCTTCTTCACATACCCCCACCTCCCAGCCTGTTTTGGGGTTATCTCATACTAGCCATTATTTCTGACAAGTGGTGGAGGTTAGGAGAAGCTCTTGTCACACTCTTAAGTTCAGGTTACTTGTGTTTTTGTTTTGTTCTATAGAAGCTTTATTGAAAAAAAACATTTTGGAAGGAAATAGAAATGTAGGACAATCAGATAATTCTAATTTTCGAGGTCCTAAATCTGTCTCAAATTACTCCAGGTAGATTAGGTATTGTTCATAATTTATGGGAAATTATAATGTCCAGAAGATGATAGAAAGGAAAATGTTTTTAGGATTTGAGATGTAAGGAGAATGGTTTGAGAGAAAATGAAAGACAAGGCACCTACTGGAGAAACATATACATTTAATATTTTTTTCTTGATCAGTTTTGTCAGAGGTTTATCAATTTTAGTAGATTTTTTTAAGCCAAAGAAACTTTGTTGATTATTAAATATTTGTCTTGTGTTAGCTTCCATTTTTTTCCTTCCTCCTACTTTCTTGAGTTTGATATTTTTATCTAGTTTCCTGATACAGTTTGCTCAATAATTTTCAACTTTTATATGTTACTAATTGATTTGAAGCTCCAAATTGCCTCATGATCACTGTTTTATCTACATTGCTTAAGTTTTGATACGTAGTGTTTTCATTATCATTCAAGTCAAAATGTATTTTAATTTCTGTTATAATTTTATCTGATTTCATGAGTTACTTAGGACTGTATTTAACTTTTAAACATAAGAGAATTTCCTCATCATCTTATTTTGCTTTTTACTTCAAATAAATTAATGTTAGAAAACAAATTCTGTAATTTTAATCCTTTGAAATTTATTGAGACATGATTTGTGGCCCCAAGATAATACCAAATTTTATAAATGTTCCCTCTTCATTAGGAAGGAATGTGTTCTCCATGATAGTGAGATGTTATATTTATAATCTGGGACTCTTTTTATCTTTGTAAATAGGGATAATGATACAGAAGAATAGTCATGATAGCCTCTGAGGTTGATTAGAAAGGTATTGAAATGTGAAAGATGTGGTAGATGACTATTATCTGTACTGCTTGTGCTGTGAATGTTGTCATGTCTTTTCTTATACTAATCTTTGATTACTGTAGTTTATTTCCTGGTATGTTTATAACTTTTTATCTTGAATTCACCCTCAGTGAAGGCTGGTTTTCTGAGATTCCTGGTGTCCTGGCATTTGGGACCATCCTTAAAATAATCTTTTTCACTTCCTTTTGCTGGAGCCCTCAGAAGTTTAGGACTGTTTTTAGAGGTTGTTTCTCAGTCTAAGTTTCTTATATGTGAAGTTGTTATAAATGTGGAGAGGGCTTACCTGGTGACTCAGTGGTAAAGAACCCTCCTGCCAGTATAGGAGGTAAGGGTTGGATCCCTGGGTTGGGAAGGTCCCCTGGAGAAGCAGATGGCAACCCATTCCAGTATTCTTGCCTGGAGAATCCCATGGACAGAGGAGCCTGGTGGGCTACATTCCATGGGGTTGCAAAGAGTCAGACACGACTGAGTGACTGAGCTTGCATGTATAAATGTGGAACCCGTACCTCACCCATGTGGTGAATGAGTTATTTCTTGTTTTGTTTCTATTTAAAGTTTTGAAAGTAAGGCAGAAGTTAGTTACTGTTTCATTTGATGGATGGGTAGAATTCATCTAGTTTCATAAACAGGCCCTGGGTTTGTGCTGGGATTTAGGCCTTTTCTTTAATCTCAGTGGTGAGCAATAACTATCCCCCAACCACCTGAAGTACCTAAAGTATATGTTAGGGCCTTGAGTGTTTTGTTTTTTAAGACTTCTGTGGCATCAGTCCCTAGTTTGAAATGCTTCTTTATGTTTGGAACCTAAAGGATTCCCTTTCAGGCTCTCTTTCTTTTAAGGTTAAACATGCTTTTTTTGTTGTTGAGTGGTTTTGTTTGTCTAGAATACCTTGATCTTTTCATCTAATACTTCTATGTATTATTTTGTATGTCAATTCAATCTACCATATTTAGATACTTTCAGATTTATTTCCATTTAAAAAAAAATATTTCCAGCAAAACTGTTCACTTGGGACCTGGTATTATATATGTAATGGAACAAAATTTTAATTTTTAAGAATGGTGATGATTACCATACTTTTCCCCCTTTCCTTACCCCACTCTCCTTCCGTGCATTCAATAGATATTGTGCATCTATTTTATGCCTATCATTGTTATTTGGATGCTGGGGAAATTTTTCTTGTTATTCTGGAGCTTGTATTCTGTGAGAGTGTTTATTTATTTATTTATTTTTGGACATGCTGTGCGGCATGTGGGATCTTAGTTGCCCAACCAGGGATTGAACCCATGCTCCCTGCATTGGAAGTGCGAACTCTTAACCACTGGATCACCAGGAAAGTCCCCAAGGGTATTTACTTAATAGACAGTAAGTAAATAAGTAAAATAAATACTATGTGAAGTGGTGATAAGGGCTATGGAGAAAAGGCAAAGGAGTGGGTTTAAAGACCATGGAAAGTTTGCAATTTTCAATAGTATGGCTCAGAAAGTAAATTTATAACATTCTTTGTAGTTTCAGTGATGGAGAAAGAAAAAATCTTTTAGGATGTAGCTAACGATGAAAGTGTAAATACACATTTTAATCACAAATAGCTCAGAATTAATGCCCTGTTTATTGTTTGTTGAATCTTAAATGTTTCATGTTCCTCCTTTGGGGAGACGTTGAAGAGTACAGCTATTAACTGGGCCTATTCTAGTTTATTTGCTTTCCTTTGTTAAGTATTTTAAGAAGTGTAAAAATGTCAACCTTCGAGGAATTCCAAAATATTATATTTGAATTCACTAACTAGTCCTCCTTATCCTAGCTAGAATTGTTCACTTTCCACATCTTGACCTTAAAGGGAGGAAGGAATCATTTATAAATATCACTTAAATAATAACTGCACATAACTTTTTTTCATCTTCTGTTTATTTCTCAACCCCTTAAACACAAGTATGGGCAAAATTGTTAAAACCCTATATTTAAGGATGTGCTAGATAGAACCCTGCTTATAGTGAAAGAGTTAGTGGGAACAATTATAAAGTTACCCAGTGTTCCATTGTTAAAACATCTTCACTTGTAATCCTTCATTCAGTCTGATCTTTCTTCTTTTGCTTAAATATATACCTCTGCATATGAGAATTTTTTGTGTCCAGTTGAAAAAGAACATTTAATTTTGTAGTAGGTAAAGAAGGCAAACTGTTGTGAGCTTCATAATTCTCAACCTAATTATGTAATAATAAAGAGCTTAGTGTTTTCAGCTACCTCCTTATATTTGTAATTAAATTTTCCTTTTTTTTTTCTATAGGTTTACCCAGGGTTGATGATAACAGCTGGCCTTATCCATTGGATTTTAAATACATTGAACATAACAGTTCACATAAGAGATGTATGTGTGTTCCTTGCACCAACTTTTAGCGGCCTTACATCTATATCTACTTTCCTGCTTACCAGAGAACTTTGGAACCAAGGAGCAGGACTTTTAGCTGCTTGCTTTATTGCTATTGTACCAGGTTACATTTCTCGGTCAGTAGCTGGATCCTTTGATAACGAAGGCATTGCTATTTTTGCACTTCAGTTCACATATTACTTGTGGGTAAGTAACACTTGATGTTTTGTTATCATTAATACCCATAAACTTTCTACTTAAAGTAGTCATTATAGTTGCATGCAAAAAATTGTTACTGTTCATGACAAATAAGTCACAGCTCCAGTAAAAGAGGCTATCGGAAAATAAGCTATTGATTTTTTTTGTTGTTTCTTTACTAGTGGGGAGAGAGGTCAAAAATACTTAAGAAAGCTGAAGTGTGGTTCAGTGGCTTAGGATGTTGAATTCTGTGTGTGAAATTTGCATTATTTTACGGTTGCAAAGTTATTTCTTCTTTCCCTATCTGTATACCTTCTGTTTCTTTTTCTTGTCTTGCTGTATTAACTAGTACTTCCAGTATGATGTTGAAGAGGAGTAGTAAGATGATCCCCACCTTGTTCCTTTTCTTAGTGGGAAAGCTTTGAGTTTCTCACTGTTAAACGTGTTGGTTATAGGGTTTGTTTTTTTTTTTTTTGATCTTACTTATCAAGTTGAAGAAGATCCACTTTAGTTTGTTGAGAGAGTATCATGAGTGGATGTTGGATTTTGTCAGATGCTTTTTCTCTACTGATACATGATTGATCCTTGAACAACACAGGTTTGAACTATGCATATCCATTTATACATATAGTTTTCTATTAAATACATACTACAGCACTTCACAGTTTGGTTGACTCCATAGATCTGGACCCAAGGATTATGCAAGGGCCCTACTATAAAGTTATATGTGGATTTTTTTATGCCAAGGAGGTAGTCACTGCTGCAACCTCTGCCTTGTTCAAGGGTCAATTATAGTTGCATATAGTTGTAACTCTTCGTAAATTCTTTGACTTTTTGATGTCATGAATACATTATTTTCAAATGTTGAACCAGTATTTCAAACCTGAGGTAAATCTCACTTGATCATGCTATATAATTTTCAACATACCTTGTTAGACTTGATTTCCTAATATCTTGTTGAGGATTTTGTATCTAATGAGAGAGATAATGGTCTGTAGTTTTCTTTTCTTATATATGTCCTTGGTTTTAGTATTGGTTCAGTATTGGCCTTGTAGAATGAGTTAGGAAGTATTTCCTCTGCTTCTGTTTCCAGAAAGAGATTGCAGAGAATTGTTGTCATTTTTATTTATTTATTTTTAATCATTTGGTAGAATTTGAGTGAACTCCCCCTTGGCCTGATGCTTTCTGTTTTGGAAGGTTATTATTTATTTATTTATTCCATTTCTTTAATAGAGACCTAATCAGATTTTCTGTTTCTTTTTGTTTGAGTATTAGCAGATTTTTGTCTTTTCAAGAAATTGGTTCATTTCATTTAGGTTATCAAGTTTTTGGACATAGAGTTGTTCCTTGTATTTCTTTATTATCCTTTCAGTGAATGTCCAGGGGATCTGTAGTGATGTTCCTTCTTCCATTTCCAATATTAGTATTTGTGTCTTCTTTTTTTCTTAGTTAGCCTGGCCTAGCGGTTTATTGATTTTTGTTCAGATTTCAAGGAACCGTTTTTGGTCTTATTGATTTTCTTTATAAATTTCCTGTTTTCAGTTTCATTGATTTCTGCCCTGGTTTTTAATTCTGCTTTCTTTGGATTTAAATGGCCCTTCTTTTTCTAGGTTCCTAAGGTGGAAATTTAGATAATTGTCTTAGATCTATCTTTTCTATTGTTTACATTCAGTGCTATAAATTTCCACACTAGCACTGCTTTTTTGCTGCATCCCGTAAATTTTGATCAGTTGTGTTTCTGTTTTTATTTAGCGCTGTTTTGAAATTTCTCTTGAGGTTTTTTATATTTGAATGTGCTTATTTAAAGGTATGTTGTTTAACCTCCATGTATTTTGAGACTTTCTAGTTATTTTTCTATTAGTGATTTTTTGTTTGATTCCATCGTGGACTGAGAATACATATTATATAACTTTTATTCTTTTAAATTTGTTAGGATGTGTTTTATGGCCCAGATGTTGTTTATCTTGGTGAATATTCCATGCTGGCTTGAGAAGAATATGTATTCTTCTATTACTGGATGAATGCAATGTGTCTTTAGGTGTCCACCATAGCCAGTATCCAGTTGACTGGTGGTAGTGTTGAGTTTTAGCTCTTACTGATTTTCTTACTGATTCAGCTCCTTACTGATTTTCTACCTGCTAGATCCATCTGTCTGAGAGAAGGGTTTTAAGTCTCCAATTATGATAGTGGTTTTATCCATTTATGCTTGTGGCTCTATTGGTTTTTCCTCATGTAGTTTGACACTCTGTTGTTAGACACGTACACTTGAAGGATTGTTTTGCTGTCTTTGAGAACTAATCCCTTTATCATTATATAATGCACCTCTTGATCTCTGATAGCTTTCCTTGCTTTGAGGTAGGCTTTTATTATATATATATCTTTATCAGTTCAGTTCACTCAATCATGTCCAACTCTCTGCAGCCCCATGGACTGCAGTACACCAGGCCTCCCTGTCCATCACCAACTCCCAGAGCTTGCTCAAACTCATGTCCATCGAGTTGATGATGCCATCCAACCATCTTGTCCTGTGTCGTCCCCTTCTCCTCCTGCCTTCAATCTTTCCCAGCATCAGGGTCTTTTCTGGTGAGTCAGTTCTTTGCATCAGGTGGCCAAAGGATTGGAGCTTCAGCTTCAGTATCATTTTTTCCAATTAATACTTAGGATTGATTTCCTTTAGGATTGACTGGTTTGATCTCCTTGCAGTCCAAAGGACTCGCAGGAGTCTTCTCCAACACCACAGTTCAAAAGCATCAATTCTTCGGTGCTCAGCTTTCTTTATAGTCCAACTCTCACATCCATAATGACTACTGGAAAAACCATAGCTTTGACTAGATGGACCTTTGTCAGCAAAGTAATGTCTCTGCTTTTTAATGTGCTGTCTAGGTTGGTCATAGCTTTTCTTCCAAGAAGCAAGCGTCTTAATTTCATGGCTGCAGTCACCATCTGCAGCGATTTTTGAGCCCAAGAAAATAAAGTCTGTCACTGTTTCCATTGTTTCCCCTTCTATTTGCCATGAAGTGATGGGACTGGATGCCATGGTCTTAGTTTTCTGAATGTTGAGCTTTAAGCCAACTTTTTCACTCTCCTCTTTCACTTTCATCAAGAGGCTCTTTAGTTCTTGTCTTTCTGCCATAAGGGTGGTGTCATCTGCATATCTGAGGTTATTGATATTTCTCCTGGCAATCTTGATTCCAACTTGTGCTTCATTCAGCCCAACATTTTGCATGATGTGCTCTGAATGTAAGTATCTTTATATATACTTCAAAATTTTTTAAATCTTTAAAAAAATTATTCATTTTTGGCTGCACTGGATCTCCATTGTGGCACATGCTACTCTTTATTGCTGCATGTGGGCTTTCTTTAGTTGTGGTGCATGGACTTCTTGTAGAACACAAGATCTAGGATGGGCAGGCTTCAGTAGTTGTGGCACTTGGGCTCAGTTGGATCGTAGTTCCTAAACCAGGGGTTGAACCTGTTTCCCCTGCATTGACAGGTGAATTTTTAACCACTGGACCACTAGGTAAGGCCCTGTACCTTTATATTCAAAGTGGATTTCTTATAGACAACGTATAGTTGGGTCTTGGTTTTTGATGCACCCTGACAATTTGTTTTTTAATTTGTGCATTTAGACCATTGACATTCAAAGTGACTCTTGACTATAGTTGGTTTAATATTTACCACATACGTTACTGTTTTCTGTTTGGTACTCTTGTTTTGTTTCACTTTTGATCTCTATTCTTTTTCTGCCTTTTGTGGTTTGAACTGTGCATTTCATGTGTTTTGCTTTCTCTCTGTTTCTGGCACATCAGTTATGCTTTTTTAAACTGTTTATAGTGGTTGCCATGGAATTTGCAGCAGACATACATAGCTGATTCAAGTTCACTTTCAAAGAATACTATGCAGACATACCTTGTTTTAATGCACTTCACAAATACTGCATTTTTACAAATTGAAGGTTTGTGGCAACCCTGCATCAAGTGAGTGTCAGCACTAGACATTTGCTCACTTCATGTCTGTCATATTTTTGTTTTTCTCACAGTATTTCAGTTTTTTCACAGTATTTCTCTTCAGTATTTTTCACAGTATTTCATTATTATATTTGTTATAGTGATCTGTAATCAGATTTTTGATGTTACCATGGCAAAACGATTTTAACTCCCTAAAGGTTCCAGATGATGGTTAGCATTTTTTAGCAATGAAGTATTCTTTAAAATATTATGTGTTGTTTTATTAAACATAATGTACTCTTAATATTGGGGACTTTCCAGGTGGCTCAGTGCTAAAGAATCCACCTGCCAGTGCAGGAGTTGCAGGTTCGATCCCTGGGTCAGGAAGTTCCCCTGGAGAAGGAAATGGCAACCCACTCCAGTATTCTTGTGTGGGAAATCCCATGGACAGAGGAGCCTGGCAGGCTACAGTACATGGTATCGCAAAAGAAACGTGACTTAGCAACTGAACAGCAACTCATAATAGACTCTAGCTTAGTGTAAACGTATCTTTTATATGCCCCGGGAAACAAATTTGTATCACTGGCTTTACTACAATATTCAGTTTATTGTAGTGGTCTGGAACTAAACCTGCAATATATCTGAACTCTACATGTACCACTTTATGGGCACTGTGAGTACTTTATAGTAACAAAATAATCCTAATTCCTCCCTTTAGTCCCTTGTATCATTACTGTCATTACATTCATATGTAATACATACATAATAGATTACATTGTTGGTATTATTATTTTCAATAAACTTATCTGTTGAATCAACTAAGAATAAGAAAACTAAAAGTTTTTAATTTCCCTTCACTTATTCTGACTTTGATGCTGTTCCTTTCTTTAGATTCAGATCTATGTTGTTTTCCTTCTTGTTAAAGAACTTCTAGCATTTATTGCAAGACAAGTCTACTGTCAACAAATTTCCTCAATTTTCATTTATCTGAGAAAGTCTTGAAGGATAATTTCACCAGGCCCAAATTTCTAGATTGTTTGTTTTTTCTTTCCTTTCCTCAGT